CGATTTTTAAATGGTGCTTCCCAAATCCCACCAGCCCTCCCTCCCTCATAAAAAATGAACGGTCCCTAAGTGGAATGATTCTAAAGTATTTCCATTTTCGAATACGCGTCTCCGTCATCCTTGCGTGAGATGTCCAACTCGCTGTGATCGCGGCCAAAAGAACTAGCGCTGAATAGAAAATCGCGAATTTGCAGAATTTCCGAAAAAGAGGACAACCTCGTGAGGTATAGCCAAATTTTCGAACATATTTTCCTGGAAATTTCCGTTCCATTTGATTTTCATCCCGAAATTTCCAGAATTTTCGGTTGAATGGTTCGCTTTTCGGAACTTCAACAATTTCTGGATTTTCTGGAACTTTTCCCTGGAAATTTCCGTACCATTTGCCTCCGTTTCGAAAATTTCGGAAATTTTGGTCGAATGGAAAGCGCCCGGGATCAAACGGTAAGGAAATTTCCTAGAAAAAGTTCCAGAAAATCTGGAAATTGTCGAATTTCCGAAAAGCGAACCATTCAACCGAAAATTCAGGAAACTCCGGGATGAAAATCAAATGGAACGGAAATTTCCAGGAAAAAGTTTTCGAAAATTTGGGTATACTACAAGAGGTTGTCCTCTTTTTTCGGAAATTATGCAGATTCGCAATTTTCTGTTCAGCGCTAGTTCTTTTGGCCGTGATCACCACGATCATCCCAGACAAAGATGACGGCGACGTGTATTCGAAAATGGATTAATATTTTACTTGCCACTTGTCGGTCGATAAATACTAACTTAAATTCGTCAAGAAAGCTTTAAATTCCAACAAAAATAAAGCCTCGTGTGTACTTGTTTGTTTTGTATAGGTTGGCTAACAAATGTACAAAGACTTATATCTCGTGCAGAGCCATTGTACGACTCATTAAACCCTGTGTTTTGCGACGTTTTTTTAAGGTACTTGCTGTTGTGGTCTATAAAAAGTCACTGTGGCGACGTATCAACGCTCTGCATGCTTCTATATCTACTATTTAAACCTCGAAATCTTTGAAAAATTTGAAGCGAACAAAAGTGTGAGGGCGCTTTCCACTCTGGTACAGCCACCGGAAAAGTCTGTTTCCGGAAATTCATACCGAAATGTTTTGGTCGAATGGAAAGCGCCCTCCATGTTATGTGGTCCCAAACTAATATTATTGTGTCAATATAGAGAAACTGGCGATCTTGAAAGAGTATAGCAGTATACATCTCATCATTAAAACCAAAAATTGAGTCATTTTTATCACAACCCGCTTTTGCGGACTCTCGCTATCGCGCACCAAATGGTGTCCTCAAAAACGAGAGTTGGCCGACAATCGAGTTGTACATCTTTTATTTTCATTGTCAATTTACTTGTAAGCAATTTTAGAATTTACTGGAAACAGGAGCCATTTCTCAATTCAATGGAAGTAAAACACGTGGACGCACCTCACTACAAACAATAGTCCGTTTCCATAACAACATTGACCCATTGTTCGGTTTTGCGCGTGCCCAGGCTTGGCACGCCAAAAAGTCAAAAGGCTGCGAGACGAGAAGTGTGGATCGTGGGGCCCGAAGTGTGGATGTTGTTTGTAACGCGATATCCATTTACTTTTACTTTGAACATGAAAAATCCAGGTATGAATTGTTTTTAATGTAGAGGAGAAACCACTGAGCGATAGAAAATCGACAGTATTGGGAAATTCAAGTCAAAATTTTAATATGAAGCTCGAAGCACGAAGCGTAGATTAACAGCACTCTTTTATAAACCAAAGCCCATTTAGCTAATTATCACTCCCATTTTACTCAATTTGTTTTTGTTATTTTGCAAATAGCGGATAACACTTAAGCAGTAGTTCCTTGTACCGAAGTATAAGTATAACTGTTTCACTTGTAGTGGAGTTGAAAGTTTGTAACTCCTCAATTAGTAAAGCTTATCTTTCGCTAAAACAAATAAACAAGTCACTCGAGCTTGAAGTTCCCTTGAAATCTCTACAGTATCGCAAATGCTACTGCTTCTTTTATCATGATATTTCAACCTATAAATGTTTTAACCCTCTGTTTTGCGTTCAGTTCGATCGTTATCGATCGAAGAGAACTTAAAAATTGTACAAGTTTGTCTAGTCTTTTGTGTAACGCGGCAAATATCACACGCTTGATCGATCAAACTGATATGATTCAATTTAATTTTAAGCACACATGGCCATCGCGTAAATCGGTCATTACTTAGTATTTGTTTCTGTATCCAAAATCCATTCCGTAGTTTTAATTTGGTATTAATTTTTACACTTCGATATTTTTCTGTTTGATACAGAAAAGTCAAAAATCAGGTAGTCAAAACTTTGATTGGCAACGTTATTGCATCGGTTGCTCCAACTGAAGGGTCTATCTACTGTCACTATTTTTTTTTTGCAGCTGAAATCTTTCCCGCCATGTAGGGAAAATGCAAAGTCCTTCTGGGCTCAAGGAAAAGGAAAAGATCTTGCAAAGAGCTATCAAATCATGCCAGAGCTTCTTAGATCTCCGTGGTCTGAACATCACAAGCGTACCTCGAGAAGTATTTTGCAAGCCTCTTGTGCATAACTTGAAAGTTTTAGATCTGAGCTGTAATGGCCTTCAGTCACTACCAGCTTGTATTTGCCACTTGGCTTATTTGGAGGAGCTTTACGTTGGCCACAATGACCTCAAAGATTTTCCAAAAGAACTTGGGGCTTTGCCAAACTTGAAGAAACTTGATCTAGTGCATAACAGTTTCCAAGAAGTTCCGTTTTGTATTTCCAAACTTTGTAAACTTGAATGGCTTAATTTTTCAGGGAACTTGGTGGAGATTGTACCCCTCTGGGTCTTTCTCTTACCCCATCTTCGCCACTTGTACCTCATTCACAATCTTATTGAAAATATTCCCAGAGATGTCTACCTTCAAGGACTAGATGAAATTCGCAAGTACTTTAGATTACCAGCCTCTAAAGCAGTTGATAATGAGGGCTCTAACACAAATATCATGCTGTTATCTCCTACGAGAAAAAGTTTGTACAAAGTTCAGTTGCGTTCAAAACTTCTTGACGGAGAAAAGTGTGATCATGACCAAGGCTTGTCATCTCAAACTGATCCTCAAAATTCACGTGAACAGAGGTCTCCTTGTTCACCGTTGACACCATCTAAAATCTTCCTGAATGCAGAGTCTTTGCCTGTAGAAACTTCACCAGGTGAATATTTGGCACAACATAAGCATGTAGTTTCGGGTTTAGAAGAATCACACCAAAGTGGACTGCACCTTATACAAGAACAGACAAATAAGATTCTTCAGAGGCAAAGGCTTAGAAAACTACACATTGAATGTCTTCGTCAAATGAAGAACCAGCATCAACCAGAACCTTTTCTTTTTCCAAGAAGAAGATTGGATTTTAGCCTTGATTTAGAGAACCTTAGAGGAAGACGAGGTAGGCGCATGACTACCAGTGAGTATGGAACTTGTTCATCGTTCACAGAGAGTGTTGGAATTAGAGAGCACTTTCCTCTGGAAAGGAGAGATTCATTTTTGAGTTATCAGTCATTGATAGATGATGCTATGAACAACAACATGTGTGTAGTTCCAAGGCAGAAGAATCTGTCCAGTGACAGTGACAGCTCATGTTTGAGTGACATCTCTGACAACGATTGCTATGGAAACGACTCTGACTTGGAGTCAGTCACTGATCGACGCAGACACATAACTCTCGGAGACATCTGTGTCATCATTCCAGAGGAAAACCTTTCTGGTCATGTGCAGTCAGAGTTTACTCTCGAAGTCATTGAGAACGTGTCATTCTATCCTAAACTAAGTAATCGGCAAGTGCTGGCAAGTGAGGTGATAGAGATGGCACCACATGGGGCAAAGTTTTACACAGATGATCCAGCCATCATAAGTTTACCCTATGATGTTAAAGTTGGAAGAAATGACTGTGTTACTTGTTTGTGCAGTAACACAGGCATGGGGCAGAGGACAAGATGGGAAAGACTGAACCCAGAAGACTACAACATCTTCACTTCCCATGTGGAAATTAGAGCCTACCATTTCAGTCTCTTTGCTATTGTTGTGACCAAAGGATACCCTGAAGCTCGTAAGACCATAAGAGCTGGGGTGGGTGGATGTCTTTACATCCCTGAAGTTCCAGGAGTGGAAGTTCTTTTTCCAGAGACTTCACTGCTTCATGATATTGAAGCGTCTGTCAAGGTTCTCTATGCAGATGAGCCTTATGATGTTGATCATTCAGACCCTGAAGCATTTGGTCTTGCTACGCCAGTTGTCCAGTTGGGACCTCACGGTTGCACCTTCAATCCTCATTCTACTGACTTTGTGACAGTGCGTCTTCCATTACCAGATGGTAAAGAAATCCAGGAGAGGTATGGAGACAGGCAACTCACATTCTGGTGTAGTTCGACTATGGAAGATGAAGATCTGGAGTGGCAGCAGTTCCAGCCTAAGTTTATGCACATTGATAATGACAACGACAACCTGTGCTCTGTGTACTTTTCCGTGGAACATTTTTCTTTCTTCAGAGTGTTGTGGAACATCATTGATTCTATTCTGTGGGAAGCAAAGCTTGGTGCTTCCAGCATCATTCCAGTGTTTCAGTTTAATGTCTCTTTCCAAGCGTTGATGTCAGAGGTGAGCGAGTGTGGCTCAAGATTTGGCATCTGCATAGTGTGCTACAGATTTGGCAAGCCTCTGGAAGGCATCGGCAACTTTCCTATTCTTGTTGGTAAATGCATTGCACCAAAGATGCTACGAACAGGAAAGTTGCAGATCAGGTAAAACTGTCTAATTATGCTAAAGATAATTTCTATTTACAAGGCTAAAAAAAATTAAAAAGTAAAAAATGCTCAATGTTTTCGACACAAGGTCATCATCAGGGTCATCACTTACCCTGATGATGACCTAGTGTTGAAAACATTCAATGTCTTTTAATTTTTAACCTTTTGTAGCCTTGGAAATTATTTTTAAAATCAAACAAATATTATGGACATATGTTAAAGATGTTTTCAATAACAATATTTTATTATCATTATTAGTAAGACTTTAACCATGGTATCCTGTTACACAGAGAAAGTTGCTCACTGAGCTACTACATTGAAGTCTTGTAATTTTGATGCATTGTTACATGAGGTTGCGTGAATCATTACTTATTGCCAACGAGTCACCAAAGGTTCCCACTTTTAAAGTTTCCAGCTTTTAAAGATTCTCACTTTTAACGATTCCCCATGTTTTTTCAATCTTTTCCTCTATTTTCAGGTTGGAGTCAAATCATTTCAAAGCTGACACTTCAATTGGGGTGAAGGAACTTGCCGCTGTAGAGAATTTCGCAGGTCGCCCATTTGTGATTCAGTTTGGATGTCAGTTTTTGGATGAAGCTCCTTGTGGGAACTTTGGAAGTGTTTTTGTGGAGCAACCTTCTCAATATGGAGGAAGCCAGCCAATTCTGTCATTTCTTTTAAATAAGGTTTGTCCCGTAAAAATATTTTAAAGTGCATTACATACATGTACTTCTTAAATTTGCTTAAGATTAAATTCTAGGTTCTTCAGGATATTGGGAAATATCTGCTGACATAAAAAAAGTTACCTGGAGCATTTTAAAATGTAGACGGAAATGGAAACTTCATTTTGATAAGTAATACCCACAATCTGGGCAGGCCACTTAAGAAATGCACCACAAAATGTACAATAATTAATACATGCGCAAAAATTAAAGCGAATGTTAATTTCCATGCCTGGTGCTAATTAATGATTGACAAAAAGAAAAATACTGGTAAAAAAATTGGAGGAACTGAAAATATTCCACACCTCATGACCCCTCTTAGGGCCACTTCAATGTTCCAGATAACATTTAATGTTTGTCGTCAAGGTAACTAACTTGCCCTGTAATCCTTCACCACAGCCTCGTGATGGTGATGCTGTTGATGCATCTATGGACTGGGAAGTGCAGCTTACCAAAGAACTCACAGCTCTGTTGAGCATCAAGGCTGAGAAAGACATGGGTGATGAGGTGTGGCATGAAGTGGCGGAAAATCTTGGATATACTCCGAGAGAGATTGGCAACTTCAACTGCAATGACAATCCCATAGCAGCAGTTATTGCAGACTACAAACGCCGTGGAGGAATGCCACATCAGTTTATCACTGCTCTGTACAAAACTGGTACCCCAGGGAACATGACAAGACAGCAAATGCTGAGCAGAAGTGGATCAACAAGGATGGATGAGGATAAATCAGGTGAGAATTTGTAACAGGTGTGGCAACAACTAGCCCAAGTAAACAAGCTCTTAGATCTTTAAGAGCGAGAACCAAGATACATCAATTCTTTCTCTGCATGACATGACGTGTGCTTCCATGGTTTGGGTTTATTTGCACGTAAAAGGTCATGCATAAGTGAGCAAAGGCCCATCAGATTACTGAATGGCTCTTTGTAGAGCTACACTGTATGTCACCAGTGCTCAAATCTCAGATGTCTCCAAACCAGAGATAATATTAAGTGCAGGAGAGAGACATATTTCTTAAAGTTGCTAAACTTCCTGTAAAGGTCTGCATCAAGCCAAGTATTCCTACACTGAAGGAGTACATGTATTTATACTCTCGTTGGATGGGATGCTAGTCCATCAATATCACATATTTGTTAACGCCAGCATTAAATTTGCTGCACCCGTTTATAATAGACCTGTGTGGAGAAAGGCACTGTTTCTTGCCCAACAACACAATACAATGAGCGTGGTTAGGGCTTGAACCTGAACCACTTGATGTGTAGTGCAGTACATTACCGCGGTAACTATTAGGCGTCTGCACCTCCTATTCCTGTGCAGGAAGGTTTTCAGTTAAAATTTCTTCATCCCTCGTGCATATTTCTGGCAAGAGCCACCTTGTTGAACTGATTGCAACATGTTGTTATTCCAACAGAAATGAAACCCAGAATGTGCCCCTGTGTTAAGAAGAATGCTCGCAAACGTCGACTTCATGAGCCAGTCAACTGGGAAGAAAAGTTTCAGGAACTTGCACAAAATATTGGAAATGGGAAATGGAAACAGCTCGGTCGAGTGTTGGGTGTTGGTGACAGCAAAATCCAGGAAATAGAGCATGACTGTAGCATGAGACAGGATGGCTTGCAGGAGAAGACATACCAGGTTCTCATAGCATGGCGTGATCTTTATCCAGGTCGATGCAGTCTGAATAATCTATCATCTGCACTATGCAAAGTTGGGCTTGGTTACGTGGCAAGGCAATACTGTCTAGCTGTTTAGATGGGTTGATACAGCCCTACATGATGAAAACTGTTTATTGTAATTATAATGCTTACAGTGTTGGGTAGTGTATTGAGGTCCCTGTATTATGCAGAAAAGACAAGTAGATTCTTGTTCTTGTAATGACTTTCCTTAAATCGAATTTGCACGTGACCAAGTCAGTGTCATTTCTTGAAATAACACTGTTTGGTAAAATGTAAAAGGACATAGTCATCAGCCAATTCAGATAGATTATTTATGCTCACCTGACTAGTAACTGTCACAGTAGAGCTGCACATGGGAAACCTGAAGTGAACAGGCAGAAGTTAAAGAGAACTTCTCTTTCTGAAACTTTGAACATGCATCAAGCAGTGAAAGCTCATTTCTAATAAATGTGTTCATTTATCAGTGTAAATGTTTATTTATTTTTTCCTCTGGTAGCAATTTGTGTCCAAGTTACAGAGGCAATCAGGTTATTGTTGTCTGCTCTACCATACTTTGTATCATAGAATGTCATCTTACTCACAAGAAAGCCGACACGAATGCATGTACTTAAGTAAAGGTATTCTTAACAGATAGATAGATGTATTTTTGAAAACATATTTTATTTAAAAAAAGGCATCAGCAACTTTTTTAAACATGGTAAACTTTTTTTCCAACCATGTTGAGTTAGTCTCAACACTTACATGCAGTTCAGATTACTATTTTTAGCAACTTTGTTTCTTTTTATGTTTTGTCCTGTGAGCTGGTCTCTGCAAAACTCTTCTGCAAGTCAGAGTAGTATTGCACCAGGATGATGTACAGATGTATAGACAATTACCATAGATTTTTATTTTCATTGTAATTTTTTTGTATGTTAGTTTTTATTCAAAATGTAAAAAGTCACTTGCCAGTAATTAAACCAACTTGGGCTTGTTTTGTGAGACGATTGAAACCATTAATTTTGTGATGTATATTGTAAGGATAAAAAACAAAGCTATAGTTTGCTTGTCATGTTGATATGTCATTTTGTAGGTTAAATAAAAATATTTTGATTGTGATAAGAAGCAGTGCAACACAACTTTATTTTTCATTGGAGTAGTAATATAAATAATAATTTATAAACAATAATTAGTAGCAATAAAAAATGAGATGTCATGTTTGTCAAATGTCAGTACTCAAGATGTGTTGATTCATAAAGCAGTGTCACTTGGGTTTGCTCATTTCTTCAAGCTCCTCTGCAAAGACAGTCTTCAGCGGCCCCAGAAGTTGAGGAACCTTTGAAAAATTACTTGAATGAATCTGGAAGATGAACAAAAAATAGTCAAACCATAAAGAAATTCTAAAAGAGGAAATTATACAAGGCAAACATATACTGAGCAATTAGTGCCTCACCATAATGGAGCAAATATGGTTATGGACCAAGCATAAGAAGAGTTGTCAGGATTTGGCCAAGTTGATTTTACGTGTTTATGGAGTGAGATGGAGGCTATGGTTATTGTGTTGTGCTTTTGGGCGAGACATATTGCATAATATACTCTCCATCATTATAGTGCCTCTCTCCATTCAGGAGCATTAATGGTACTGCAGACAGAATTATTGGGCTTGCCTGACAGGAATGCTTGGGAGTAACCAGCTGCAAAAGTGGTGAGGGGCAGAGTGGGATGGGGGTGTGCTCCTTCAGAGACTAGAGTTATTTGAGCATCAAGAGCTATGAGCCAGCTCTAGATCTTCAAAACTAGCCTCTAATACAGTGTGCAAATGCAGTTGTGTCCAATAGCCCAGCAGCCAGACTGGTGGCTCCTGTCCCTTGCTTACCCAATGGGCAAGTGAAGGAAGAAATGAAGGAAGGATGGAAGGAAGGAAGGTTAGATGCTTAAAAGGACATTCAAATCACAGCAGCAATGTAAGAGGTAAGATTGTTGCCAGTAATAATTTTCAAAATCAATTAATCATTCTACATGTCTATAATGTAATAAGAAGTTTCCTAGGAAAGGGGAGATTAGTGAGAAGAACATACAGGCAAGTGCATCATTATCATAGATAATACCAAAAACTGATTTTCCCTGCACCCTGTTGAGTTTTACCTTCATGTGATCAAAGGCAATCCCTGTGTACTTAGTAAACTGCTCACTGAACACAGGAATTTTGGGATAGCGTTGACTGAAATGATTTAACATAATAAACTTTGCATCCATTTTCACACCACTCTCAATTGCCTCTGTAGTTGTACTGAAATAAATAAGAAAATAAAAACAAAAATTTATGACAAGTTGAGAGAATCAAAACTAATTGAAGAAAAGGATACCCTTCCTAATTAGAGTTAGGTCCAGAGTGAAGGGTTTTTGCTAAACTAAACAAAAATTTCCTGAGGGAAATTCCATACTGGGTTGTGACATTTTTTTACAATTTGTTTATTTCAGTATTGAATACCTTATTTGATAATTACATTTTTTTAATTCAATTTGTTCATTAATATCTTAATATTTCTAAATCTATATAAGGATGCGTGCCACCTTTAATATTTTCAGTAGTACTGACTTTTCTCTTGCTTTGTGAATTATTTAAGTTCAAACCTGTGCTTTTTTGCAACAGCTTCAGCTTTCAATTCATCCTCAAGAGTGGCTTCATGAATAAGAAGGTCAGCATCTTTTCCTGAAATAAAAATTGAAAAGGATTTACGTAAGTGCGTACTGACTATAACTCAGTCCTAGTCAAACACCAGTATTTTCACCACCTCTACATCCCAATAATCTCTGTGACTTAAGAAATCTTGCAGCTTTTGTTATCATCCTGACTTAGAATCTAATGCTAGCTGTTGCTAACTGGTTTTCATTATTGGTTGAACCAGATTAATGTATCGGCCAGTGAAAATGTTAGCTATTCAAAACCACCAAAGAAACCTGACAAAATTGATGGTTCAGTTTAACACAAAAAATCATAACCTTGTTACCAGCAGCTTTGACTGTTTTCCAGTATAGTGCCTTACCAGCCTCAATCAGTGCTGCGCATGGGCGTGTATCACCAGAGTATACAATCTTCCAGCCTCGCTGGTGTTTCAGTACCAAGCCATAGGCCTCAGGGCAGTGATCTACAGGAACTGTTAAAACCTAACATTGACAAAGTACTGTTTCAAAAACAATTTACTTGCAATAACAGTTATTAATCTGTAAGACAGTTTACCCTGATCATCTCAATAACACCATCAGTCTAAATGCTGTTGTCGTCATCACTGCTGTCGTGATTAGCATCAGCAGCACCCACATCAACAAAATAATCAGTAATCTAGTAATCAGTGTCGACACTCTTAATGTCAGAGCCCCATAGAGGACCTCTGAGGGACTATAGAGGGTCGGAGATGCTTCTCCTTAGCAACAATGTTTGGTCACCCTTTCCCTCAACTGACAACATTCACTTGAAAATGCATTGTAATACAAATTTTCATAAAGATAAACTATATGTATAATTATTTTATGAGCAGAGCGAAATCTGGCAAATCTATGTTGAGTATTAAGTAGTTTGTTAACTACCCTCACTTATGCCCTAATTTACTTCCCTAAGGTTTATAATAATTGCAAAGCACACAATGTTGCAAGAAAAATATTTATGATGCGAGCGAGCCATGTACATGTAGTTGGTAATATTTGCCTAAGGGTAAATTTCACATATTGAAATGAAACTTACAAAATATTGCTTGAACATGTACCTCTTTTGCATCTAGGTGGTTATTTACATTGAAGTAATCTTCATCTCTGTGCACGTTTAACTCCTTACTGTCCACAAACCTGTCAACAATCATTTGATTGCCAAGAAAACATATTATTACCTGAATTAAAATCATCTGAGACAAATTTGTGGAGGAAGGATAAGAGGCAACAAGAACTTGGGAAGAAGAGAGGGTGTGAAATAAGATTCCCACTAGTACTGTCGTGGTAACCGGAAGGAATAGGGAAAAGTTCGCATATTGCATGATATTTTGCATGTAGCACCAAGAGTACATTGTAGGAACCACTAAAAAATTATAAGCGTGTGCACCAGGAGTAAAAGGCATGAGAAGAGCAAAGTTAAGGCCCTCGTAGCCTCCCCCAATCCCTATTTCCAGTAATATAATGGCTATTAATTAGTTTAGAGGCAATCAGTAAATTATGCAAGGTCAAGATACTGACATATTTTTTTATACCTGGTCAGCTCCAACTGGTAACATCAGTGAGTCCCTCATTGTCCTTACCAGTGACCACATGAGGCACAAGGTTATGTCAGACTTTCAAGACTTAAAATTCCCGTGAAACTCACCGGTAATCTATGTCCTCACACCAGCTGTCGTACTCCTGCAGCCATTTCCCTATCTTGTCAGGACCAATGATTAACAGAGGGTCACCAGGAATCTCACTCTCGGCATTCTCCTAAAATTGAATGTTAAAATAATTTGCTGCTCTAAATGCAATCCTGGTAGGGTCACCCTTACCAAACAAAGAGTCATCCTATGGTCCTCCGAGGGGCAAATGACTCAAGCCTTTAAACAGCATGCTTATACAGAAACTGGAAAACTTTGACAGCAATTTTATACCTCACTTTTAACAACTTCAATTTTACGGAATTAAAAGAAAAATTTATTAATAACTAAAACATCTGATCAGCAAAACCAGAAAATTTGTCACAAATTTATCAGAAAATACTTAGCTATAGAAACATTTAGACTCATTTAGAGATTCAATGTCTGGATGTACCAGGAAGCTACGATATTATTAACAAGAATTAATAAGTATCTATAGGTAATCATATGAAAGTCCAGTGCAATGAAGGATTTACATTATGACTGACATTTGAAAATTCTCTTTGGTTTTGGTTTTACGACATTAATAGAAACCATTCTATGACTGAGGAAGTTATGAATGTGCGTCCATTAATCTGTTTGCACTGCAGTGCAAATTAAAAATTAACGAGAAATTGGCCTGCTCCCAGTCAATTATGATGAATTTAAAAGTGAAGTTTATACTGAACATTTACAATGTATATTCATGACTGACAACACTTACCATGGTGACTCTTTTCAGCAGAATACGAATGAGACCCTACAACAGAGGAAGCAATATATCAATGAAAAAAGTTCTTATTATTGCCACATTAGATCCTCACAAGTGAAAACCTAAAGGAGCTCCTAATAATTATGTCAGGAATAGTACATTATGAAAACTTGGCCTAAATTTTTCAAGTCTGTTGTTTGTGGTCCATCTCAATCTTTCGCAGTGTTGACCATCCTACTTTATCACTGCTACGTCTTGCTGATGTAATAATTAACGATTAATTTGATGTTTTGTTCAATCAAAGTGAATTTCATAAATAAATTATGGTAAACCCAGTGAAACTTGATAAACTATTCTAACAACACTCATAAAGGTGGCAGAATGTGCAAGTTGTATCAGCCCATTCAGCTTGGGAAAGTGGAATACTTTCTTCATCAGTATTCGAGAATCAGCAGGTATTTCATATGACCTCAAGGTAGCCAACTGAAGTTTGGGAAAATTACATTTACATCACATTAATCCATACCAAATGATGATCTGCATGTATGTGTGATATAAACACACATTTAAGACGTAACAGCACACGGTCCACATATCTGCCATAATGCCGAAAGAGCTGACCATATGTTCCTTCACCACAGTCTAAGAGTATTGAACCTTCCTCACTGCACATGAAACCAAACAAGCAATCATCTAATCATCTAAGTTATCCTTCATTTACTAATTAAATTGTCAGGCTAAAACCCCAAACAAGTGCACAAATGCATGAATTTACATGATATTTAAATTTGTCTTTCCATTCAGCATGAAGTTCTGCTTCCTGAGTGTACAATGTGTTTGCTGTAACTTTCTGACCTCGCAGTTTCTTTCAGTAAAAGCTTAAATAGCATCAGCCCTTTAGATGGCAGACTGCACTCTTCTGCTGTTTGTGACATCTGCTTGCAATCTGTCTTTTGCTCAGAATCAGGGAACTGGAGTAGGTGGAAGGGCTTAAGATGAGAAATACTGCCTTTTGCATTCATATTTGACATTATTTTGTAGTGAAAAATGTTTGGCAGTTAATCAATGACTGACGCATGGTATATTCAAAACCCCATTTTATATCGTTAAAGATCATGAAACTTGATCCTCACATTTATTGTCGGTCTCTGATTCTATTTGGTTTCTGCCCTACATGTGTATTGATAATATGTAGATTTAGCCAAGCCCAAAAGCAGAGCTCCTGATTGCAATAACTAACCACAAAGAAAAAAGAGGATTTGTTTTTCTTGGATCGGAAACTCAAAAATGATCAATTGTGAGCATGTAATTGTTCAGCGTGTGGTTTCACTATTTTTTCCACTTAAATTTTCACAAACTGCTGTCTGGAGATGATTATGCAAGGAATACGTCGGAAGAAAAGTCAAAAACAAGCCAGGGGTAAATCTGCACCGAAATTTTGCCTTTGCACGTACTCTCTCTTTCTCTTCAATGTAATAACCTGGGTGAACCCGCGATCCAACAAAAAAAAAAAGTCCAGTCCCTGGTCAGCGGTCTACTTAAAAAAAACACACAACCTCTATGAGCTCTAAACCTGAGCCCACAATATGCTCATGTGATACAGGTCAGCAAATAGCTTGTTTTCAACAGCTGTCAATTAACCATAACATGGAAACCCAAAATTAAAGATATAGCTATCGTAATGGTGTTACTCTCTTATTTTTCAAGGTATTGGCAAACAGATGGACAAATGTAGGCAAAATCACGCAACAACCCAAACTTTTTAAATAGTTGGGTTACCAAATTTTCTAAGGTATGGGGCTCCGCTCGCACGCAGGAGCTCTGCTATAATTATTTTGATTGGGTTATGCATTTATGGGCTGCAATAAACACTTTTTAAAAATAACAATGTTGTACCCCCATAAAGGAACAGGTGTCATATTATGCCCCTTCTCTCCACAATGGGTACCTCTCTACAAAGGTCACTTTCCTTTGTCCCCAAGGTGGTTGTTGTGGGGAGGTTTGATGGTAATTATAAATTTGTCTGTCCCTTGAAGATGGACCCCCGCTTGTCTACTTACCTCATGTTAATTAAAGTTGAGCTAACATTCCTGTACTTTGATGGAATTGATGCTCCGGTTCCAAGAAAAACAACCTCATAGTCCTTATTTGTGACTTGACGACTTTTCACTCGAATTATTTCTTTCAGAGAATAACCAGTTTCTTCAAAAGTTAGGATAGGTACTCCAACTGCATCTAAGATTTCTTTGACTGGATTTTGAAATTTACTGAATAAATTTCTTTTTGGGCTTCTGATTAAGTCAGTTGATCCAGCAGCGCTGCTAGTCGACAGTGATCTGACTGAGGCGGCTGATGATGCAAATTCTCTTCTATCATGACCTTTTTCCACAAGGTCTGTTGCAACTGATTTCTTTAATTTAGTGGCCAACATGGTTTGAGTTTCTTCAACAAGTGAGTCAAAATCTACCTTCTGCAGAGTTTCAGACCTATCAAATCCTTGCTGTTTGACTGGTCGCAGATGAAACTTGAGTAAGTTTTCTCCAGGAAAGCAGTTCTTTGGTAATTCATCTTTGGCAACTTCCTGAAATGAAATATTATTTATTTATTAATTTATCTTGAAAAACAAGACATGATATTTAAAATGCTGATTACAGAAAGTCAGAATGACCTTGATGATTTTTTCAAGTTCATCTATAGGTTTGCTGGCTGACCAGTGATGTCAGTATGTCGACAATACCCATATCTGACTCATCCATGCGACAGACAAAGACTTTTTTTACATCACAATTGATGGCCAACCATGGTATGTTAGGCCAACTGAGCACAAAAATTTTGTCTCACAAGTACTGTGCATCATTAAGAGCCAGTTGACGTAGTTATCAACTCTAAACATTTCCTTAAAATTTTAGTTTTGGGAATAAAATTTGGTGGTACACTCAATACATATTGACCCCTTCTTCAGGCTACCAATGGAAGTTAACTCTCCCCCTAATAGAAAATATTCAAAGTACACTTATTCCATGATAAGGTCTGAAGTAGAGTTCTGTACCTGTCAACTCTCATGCCTTAGGTACGAGTCTCACACCTGCGGGCTGAAAACTTCAATCTCATCCCTCCAGACCAAAATTTTGTGCCTGGCTTAAAGATTTATTTGCAACCTTAACTTACACACTTACAAAAAATATGCAAACTCAAACCAATGGCAGAAAAGAAAGGTCTCTTTAAATGATGGCCCAATTCCCCCAATTCTTTGATTTTCAAGGAAAAGTCTGGCAACAGTGTCATGTTTGATGAAACATACCCCAGGATTGGGACTGGAAAATGTTCAATATGCCTTCAGAAGAAGTTAACAGGTATATACAGTTACTCTTCTTGATTATAGGGAGGTGCGGTGGCCTCGTGGTTAGTGCGCTAGTCTCCGGATCGAGTGGCCCGGGTTTGAGCCCTGGCCGGGGACATTGCATTATGTTCTTGGGTAAGACGCTTTTCTCTCACAGTGCCTCTCTCCACCCAGGTGTATAAATGGGTACCAGCGAACTTAATGCTGGTAACCCTGCGATGGACTAGCATCCCATCCAGGGGGGAGTAGAAATACGCCTAGTCGCTTCATGCTACAGAAACCGGGATAAGCTCTGGCCTGATGGGCCACTTGGCTCACATGCAGACTTTACCTTCTTGATTATCCCTGACCCCTGAAACCAGTTATCGTACCCTAAAAGATACTTACAGGAATATCAGTTGCTTCCAGCAAGGGGAAAATCTCTGGTTCAATGGAATGCAGTTTACACTGAACAGCTGCTTGTGAGTGAAACACCACAGGTGTGGCACACACATCTTTGTTTATTAACACATGAGACACATTTTTTCCAAACCTAGTAACAGAAGTTATAACATGATTGAGAAAATCACTCCATTGTGATTGGCCATGAGCAGACCAATTTATTGCAGCTTTTTTTCAATTTCCATTGCAGTGCAAATTAACTCATCCGTGTTTGTAATTTTCTTAGTCATAAAATGAATGAGTAATCATATGAATTAGAGTGTAACTGTATCTTTCGAATTACACTTGCCTATAAAGGCTCATGCAATTTTGAGAGACTTTCAAATATCACTGTCTAACATAAATTGCACAATCTCATCAAAAATTGAAACACAACTGCAAAATTTAATTTGAATTTATACTTGACAGTTTAGGCTGTTGTTACCAGTAACCATAACCATACTCATCGTTTTAAAATAAAGGTTATCTATCTATCTATCTATCTAACCATTAACACATTTTTATACAGTCATATTATTACATGAATGCTAATCTAGGGTGGCTTACCAAATGACATATCAAAAACTAATTTATGGGGAAATAATTTACTAAGAAGGGAACTACAGTTTCCTTTTTACAAATAACAAGTAACTGATTTCACAACAAAGCAAATTTTTACTTAATTCTTGATCACTTATACTCAAAACTGTTTGATTTCAGAGAGTTTTCAAGTCACTAAAGGTTCCTCAGTAACTTATGGGTTAGATAACCAGTAAAATCTGACGAACGTAATGATGCTATACATTAATGGCACTACATGTAATTGATTAAGAAAATAAATATTTCAATGTGGCTAAATATAATTCAGGCAAAGTGAGACTTGAGCCAATGCAGTCAGCGGTTTCTCCTTTGATTGTACGTGACCTGTGAGGCAGCCCTTAAGGGATTTGCAGACCTCTTGTACTTCACTGCACTACATGTGCAGTTCTGTTAGCTGATCTTTGCGGATCATTTGCAGAGTGTGTTAGCCAATCTTTAGGGACTCTTGTACTAGATAATTGCAATACTAGTAAACAAAATTATTGATCTATCACCTTTTCCTCCACTCGTCATACTCTTTACTCTGAAACACTCTCATGGGGGTCAGATGCACCATAACCACAGGTGTTCTATTTGGCCCCTCCTCCCAGTACTGGCCTTCCCAGTGCTGGCGTAGCCGCTTATTAGACACAAGTGACGGAATGAATGCCAGTGTTGGACAATCGATGATTATGAAAACTGGACCAGGCTGACAAGGTCCTGTTACCTGCTCAGGTGTTATCTGAAAAACAAGTTCATCAACTCAGAAAAGAGTAAAATTGTAGTGACAAAAAATCAAGTGTGACCACTGTTTGAGAATGTTGAATCAGGTTTTGTAGAGGCTAGTAAGAGTGTTGGTCAAAGAGTGTTACTGAAACTTTCATTAACAGTCAGAACTTTAATTCAACTATGAAACATTGCAAAAATTGTTGAGAACCTTCAAACTGACCTGCCGTCCATCTTCTAATGTAACAGCTTTCCCTAATTGTAAATCAGCAAACAAAGGTCCTTTAGGGACACCTAGCTCTTTAGCTTTCTGGGGGAAAAACCTCCCTGGTAGAGAAGAAAGTTGACAGATGTAGCAAATAGATGAAGATGACTTAGAGTCTTGCTTCCATTTCTTGATTGATGGCTGTTCACTCTCATCACTTGAGGAGGTGGTGGTGGAGTCATCTGTTGATTTCACCCTCTCGTCTGCATGGCTTTCTAGATACAATATAATAGACAGACACAGGATTTTAGAGAAGGGACGGCGAGATACGGACTGCCAAAGGCAGTCCTCTATAGGGATCCTGGGGAAAATGTTTTAAATTGAGGTCCTCAGAAATGGGATTTGCAGCATTCTGAGGCCTGAACCCCTGTTAGATCCGCCCCAGTATTAGGAGTGGTAAATGGTAAATGCAAGACTTTGCGAGAAAGGGAGACNATCATTATCATTATCATTATCATTATCACTATCATTATTATTAACTATTATTATTCCATACTTCTCTTCTTTTACATCCCTCCCTGCCTCGACCTTCCCCTCCTTTTCTGACACCTTTAGACTCCAGTCTTACTTCATGAGAAACTACATAGTAATGTGAAGAACAAGCAGATAAAACAGCACTAACCATTTAAAAGAGCTGGCCATATTGTCAAATTCTCATCCTCATATTTCTCTCCTTCTCTTCCTGTGAATCCAGTGCAATCAAACTTCAACCTTTCATGGAAAAGAAAGAACCTTGTGGCATGGATAAATTGAGGTAAGTTGCTGGCTCCAAGCAGGCCAACATCTGATTTTCCATTGTCCCTCAGTGTCATTGCCAGTCCTGGCAATCCTCCAATGTATTCCCAACATATTCTTGTGAAGAAAATGTTATTTACTCTTGTGAGTCTAAGTTTGTGTTGGTTAAATAGTCTCTGAGTCCCCTCTCCACAGTTGAAAAGATATCTGGTGATGAAAAATTAAAAACATTATATTTTAGTGACAATCAGTAGCATTCAGTAACAACCACTGGTGAGTCATTCCAAATAACAATATACATGTAAGTAAGAATTTTTTTAATTTCCCACTAAAAATCAAAATCTCATCATTTTTCTTCTAATGACACCAGTGCATCAATATTACGCAGTCTGGTAAGTCATGATATTGCTGATCAATTCTGTAGTTCAAAAAGTTAAGGCAGATTCTGACAGCCTAGGTTTTTCGTTGTTGGCACAGTTTGAAGTTTGCATTCGAGATGTTCAAAATTTTGTCGGATCCTTTGAAAACAATAGGTCATGTTATAGTTATGTGCTTAATTACCTGGCCTAGGAATGCAAGCAAGGCTGGAGGTGATCTTGCTTTGATACAAACCTCTCTGCTTTTCTCATTTAAATGCCAAGTAGTTAACATAAGAAAAACTTGATTTACACAACAAAAGCAGTGAGGTCTGTATCAAAACAAGGTCACCTCCAGCCTTGCTTGCATTCATAGGCCAGGCAGCTAGGCACATAACTGATGCTAAAAGCCAGACGCNGTAGATTGCCAGAGCAATCAGGACAGCTTAAGAATAAACAGAGATCAAACATATTAAATGTAAGTCAAGCCATGTTTAAATCGACACACCTCTGGGAATCAGCAAAAAGAAACAACGATGGAGTTGTGTCCCGAGTTTCTGTTCCAAGTATTTGAAGAAAAACTTTAGCGGATGCTTTAGCACTAGTACTCAGTGAGACAGCCATAAGTTTACATCTCCTTTGACGTTGAATCCTGTTCAGTCTAGATAGTACTCTCATTCGCGGTGTAGAGGGAAAGAACGTGTAAAGATTTTACTTCGTGAATGTGGCTGCCATGTTGGATTTAATAATTTGTGGAAGCCAAATTGAATCATACATAGATGAGATACCCTAGCCTCAAACGACTGCTGACATAGTTTCCAGTTTCTCCTCGGTTTTAACATGGCGGAGGAAGGCGGATTATTTTCATCCACATTAGACTAACTTTAATGTCCTTTGGAGGTTGAACAAACTCACGTTATGCATGAGAAGATTGATATGTGAACCATAAAGACAGGAATTTATCAACTAAACATACAGAAGTTGAGCGGGGCCTGAGGTGGACCACTACCACGTGCACACTTCTCAAGATTTTTTCCGTTTACTGACTCAGGTACTTTTCTGTTTTATAAGACAATCCCATTACTCCCATATTTATACTGCTCATTTATACCTTGGTCTTTAAAGAAGCTACGTCACGACGGCATGTTTTGAAAACAAATTTTTAGCCGTTATAGATCATTATAAACCACTGACCGGTTTGTACTTCGCAATGTTTCTTTATATCTTCGTCATTGGCCACCATTTTTGCTCATGTTCGATTGTTTAATGTGTTGTTTTAGAATTGGTACCTCTTAGGGGTGAACAAATATCAAGCCACGCCCACAAAACAGGACCTTGGTACCTTTTAGGGATTTCCCTCTAACACCCCCATCAGTTTTTGTATAGGGGTCCCCCCCTCCAGGACTTTGTCCTCATCTGGTCCCCCATTTCAATCCTTTCTGGGGCTAATGTTTCCAAGGAAATACTTGGTTTGATATTTAGCACTCCAAATCACTTTGGAGTTAATTTTCTTCTTTTCAGCTTCTAACATCAGTGCTGCGTGGCGTAACTATGCATTGCTTGGCTTAGGTTTGATTGTACTCTTGACTGGGCAAATGATGCATCTCTTTAATTTTCCGTTTCGCTCATGCATCCACTTGGAAGACTTGGAAATTTCCAATTCAAAGTATTTTAAGTGTACAAACATTATTTTGAAACTAATGTCAGTGCTACGCCGCACAAACTAGTCTGCGGTATTTGTTATCAGTACGTGCGCAAGCATGCCATGTGTGGGCCGTTGTGTGTTTTTGAGTGTTTACGTTTGTGATTTTTGTAAGAGTCAGGTCATTCCGTGAGAAACAACAGTCAGACTCACTGGTATTGGCCAGAAAAAAATACAACTCAAGTTGTTTGATTGTACAGTCTAGTTTTCACGTCGTTAACACCTCGATAAATGAGAAATTTTGGCATTGTTTAATTACATTATACATAAAGACTGTGTTAAACTGGCCGGATATTATGGACAAATTGGCCTTTTATTGACATAAGACTTTTCTTGTAAAATCATTGAGGATTTTCTGGCCATTGGTGGAGAGAACTATATCAAAGGTGTCAGGGTTTTCCGAGAAACGTTTCCAATTTCTCACATTTCTTCGCCATTTGTAAATTCCTTACGTAAAGATCGATAAAGAACTGAAGTCCTCCATTGTTTATTTATTTTTTATTGATGTTCAAAAAATTTTCAATTACCTAATAACCAGAAACTTAGTTCGGGTGAGGGTAGTTCTTAAAAGAACTGTTGTTGATGACTGACGTTTCGACAACCTGAGCAGAAGTCATCGTCCAAGTTTGTCATCAGTCATTGGTGGGTTTTGATCCGTCTATTGTTAGTCAAATTGGTCGCTCTTTGGTCCGTCTATTGTTAGTCAAATTAAGTCGGTCTGTTGGAAGTCCGTTTGTTGGTTTCGTTTCCGTCATGGATAAGTCGTTTGTAGGGGCCGGTAGTTGTTGACATCTGTTAAGTGACAAACTTTACAGCCAATACCATCATGGCTAAACTGACCAATCGTGTTCAACGGACCAGACTTAAACATCATCGACTGACAAACACTATTCACTTGACTCTGAAGATGACTTCCGCTTAGGTTGTCGAAACGTCAGTCACCAACAACAGTTCTTTTCAGAGCTACTCTCACCCGGACGATCACACTATACGAACTACTGATACTCCTGGGTTCAAACCGTTTACTAACCAGAAACTTAAGAGCAAAATGTTACATTCCAATTAAGTTTCATTTAATTTTTAATTTTTTTAGAATTCTAAGACCCATGATGGATTAATCATCGCGACATTTGCAGCTCCCACGTCACTAAGACGCATTTGCGTTCACTTCTAGAAGTGTTACATGAGTAGGTCGGTACCGTTCGGGTAGAAATCTCGAGTACAGATCTAGAAATCCTTGTTTGAAAGCTGAATTACGCAATCCATACAGAATAGGATTGCACATACTGTTAAGATAGCTAAGAAGCAATGATACGATATCGACGGCGCGAGGTAAGGGCCTGGGATAATACACATCAAAAAACATGGTTATAGCAAATGGAGCCCAACAAATGACAAACAGCGCCACTACGAGAAGAATTGTGTTTGTCATCTTAGTTTCTTCCGGTGTTAGCTGAAACACGTCGGATTTCGATTTCAAATCCAGTTTGCAATGGCTTTGTCCGTTGATATGTGGTCTCTCCGCCATGTTTAAGTGTAGCTCACTCTCTGGATTGTGTCTGGTTTGAGTTTCCTTTACTACTGTAATCTCATGGAGACAGGTTCTGTCAGCAGGATCAGGCTGTTTTTGTTGAGGCGGTGGTGTGAGGTTATTCCTTGAAACTGCAATTCGCCTTTTCAAAGTCTTTGTAAACGTCAAAATGTTGTAATACGAAAAAGCCATCACGGAAAGAGGCCCGAAAAAGCAGACTGTGATCATGAAGTACATAAAGTACGCATTTGAAGGCCAGTAAACGAAACAGTAGGATTTTCCAGGAATGAAGCGGTATTCTGCCCAGCCGAAAAGCGGGGGAGAAGCCAAAGATACCGACACTACCCACACTGCAGCAGCGTAGAGCAAACTTTTCTTCTTCGAGAAAGTCTTTTTGTAAGTGTTCCACTTGACGATGTAAAAATATCGGTTGATGGCGATCATACCAAGAGACATCACAGATGCAATGAAGGATAAAGTCGTGAAAAGGCCAAGCGCCACACAAACTGTGTCACCGAACAGCCAGCGTCCTGTAATGACCGTCACTACAGTGAACGGAATGCTTAGAACTGACACCATGATGTCTGCCGCGGCCAGGTTTAGAATGTACAAGTTGGTGATTGTTTGAAGATCTTTGTTCTTGTAAACGATGATGTATAAGCTCAAGTTACCGATCAGAACCGCTAAACAAATGAAACAGAGGATCGTTATCTCTGAAACTGTGGCTAGCAGACTTAGCGACATTACGGAATTTTAAAATCCGGAAATCAAAAGTATATAATAAATTAGTGTTTTCGCTCGACCGTAAAAGCTTGTGTTCAACTTCTCTACTTCAATTCACTAGGAAACGAGAAAAAAAAGTTGTGAAAATGTCGTCCAGCAAAAGAGGACGAGTAGAGATCTCACTGTGACTGAATTCACAAACAAGGTACGCGAACTTTTAAATGCTTTGAAAGTCTTACTTTGTTTCCTTTCGATCAAATGGGCAATTTGAATGAAAATACACTTTAGGAAGACTATTTAGTTTTGCATTTGATCGAGAGACTATATAGTCAGTGAGGAAACAATTAAGGTTTATACATGTACCACAATAAATCCAAATGTATTTGCCACGGGAGAAATTGACGGCTCTTCAGTATGAACCACTGGCTCCGGGGGGACTCCTATAGGAAAAGGTCGGGGATGCTCGTGGGAAAAATTGAATTAACCCCCTAAAGGAAACCAATTTGAGCGTGGCTAGGGCTTTATTTGATCCCTAAAAGATACCACTTAAAACGGAATAGGCTTGATCACCAGCCGCTGTTCAGGAAACTGGGGAGCCCTCGCTAGTAGACTGGACTGGAAAGAGTGGTGAAATCTGAGCCTAGAAAAGGGAAAAAAAACGTTTTTTATTATTATGTCCACATTGAAGTGCACCNCCCCCCCCCCCGGCCACCGGCTGGCTCATTAGTTTCTTTGGAAAGATAAAAACCACCTGGCTGATATACCATTAGACTAAAAAGCGTGCGTGTTTCTTGCCGATGCTGAAAGAACGGCAAAGGTTGCTCGCATTGTAAACTAAGGATATACGGTAACACTCACCTCTTGGATTTGAAAGATGGCCTAGGTGGAAATTATCTTTAATTAAAGTTCACACCCTGTGAAAAACTTTCGTGGCACACGACGTGGGTTTCGCAAGGGGGCGTTATGGAAAGGCAGCTTATTGAATTAATAAGCCAACACGACAATCTAGTAATTATAACCCTTTTGAACAAAGCTGCTGTATATCCGCCACTAGAGCTGAGCGTGTATGATTTCTTTGAATGCACTAATGTCCCCTACTCAGATGTAAATATTTTCCCTTTTTTATGCTGTATTCTAAACCAAATAAATGATGGTGCTCTTTTGTTTTCTAAGCAAATAATGTACTTTTGTGGTCAAGAAAAACTGCTGAACACACTCGGTTCCTTTCGTGAATCTACTAGTTTTTCTTAGGGAATTTACGAACGGGGGTTTCACTCTGAAAACGCATCAAATGTTTTCTGTCCACCATTTAAAAGCGCAACAATGACCGGTCATTTTGGATTTGTGTTTGAGTAAAACTCGGTCAAGGAAATCACGTGATTATCGTGACGCCATCGTTTTCAATTCTAAAAACTCCATTTTCAAAATGTTTTTCGTCCACACGAAACGAAAAGCCGGCGTTTTCAAATTCCTGCGGCTTGAAGAGAGTTTTCGAAAAGCTCTCCGCCCACACTACCCTGAAGAAATTTTAAAACGGCGTTTTCCCTATGAAAACATATCAAATGTTTTGCGTCCACACTGCGCCGGAGAAATGTCAAAACTCAACAATCATCACATTGATTATCGTGACGCCATCGTTTTCGAAAGCTTCGTTTTCAAAATGTTTTCCGTCCACACTAAAACGCAAAGCCGGCGTTTTCAAATTCCTCCTGTTTGAAGAGCGTTTTCAAAAAGTTCCGTTTTCGTGACGGATTAGTGTGGACGCGACGGTAGTCCTAACCGTAGAAATAAAACTAGGTTTTCAAATTTCTCCGGCGTAGTGTGTACGGGGCCTCAGTTGGAGATTAACCTGTGAAAATTTTCAGCGATGAAACCAGCGTTGAGTAGTGAAATTCTTAATCGAAGTATTTAGCCAATCAAACCTTGTGTCTCCAGATCCACCTTTTCCTCGTGCCAAGGCCCCGCCGGCTGAGAGGGACAGGGAACAGCTCTCTCAAAATTCGTTGCCATGGAGACAGGAACGCGCTTATGAGTAACAGCCATCAGTTATTTTCCATTTAACAAAGAAAACTTAAAAATTTTGCCCATAGATTTCGATGTTTATTACTATAATTATCGTTTATATTTTCAAGAGACGATGATCTTAGAGTTATCTCAGGATATTTTCCCAGATGTAAATTTTAACCTGAAATGTTTCAGATCTAAAGTACGTCCTTAGCCTGGTACGCGTCAATATGCGAATTCTGTACATTCAGCGATAATTTACCTGTTAATGTTTAGACCCAGTAATTATCTCCATGAAATAATTCAATTTCATGGTTTACTTTACCAGAAATAAACCCCCCTTTGCGTTGAATTTATGAATTGCAGGTTGTGATACAAGAAAATTTACCCTTAAAATATTTCTTCTTAGACAATTTTGAAGGCGTTTCTTCTCTACCGTGATTTCAGCCCAGTTTTCTGTTTGAGTTATGGCGATCCGGGCGTTTTTGCGCTTCTGGCGCAAGATATCTCTGCGATTTTTCGATTTGCTGTGCGGTCAATGTGCGCGGTTCGCACGATAAATGCTTGGTTGGTCTATAGATGGGATTAAGGTGATTACTTATTTATGAAGTCGTTCCAAACGAATGACCATCGACATGTATAATGAAAATAATGAGTTTGTTGATTGCGATGTGAGCGTAGGGAATTGTGCTTGAGTAATTCGAACCAAACTGGAGCTCAAGATGTAAGCTGACGATCGCTTGGGAAGAAAACCATACAACATTCCATTTTTTAACGGCTTTACCCACAGATGACGGCTCTGCATACAGAGATTCGTCTCGATAATCTCAAAAGTAAGACCGCATCGCTTCGCTGAAGATTTCCCACCCGATTTTTTGATCCTGAAAAGTGTGATCTTTTTCTCTTTTAGCTGTTGTTCTGAGGTTGGAGAGTTCGTTAAAGAAGCCTGTTCGAGATGACAACGTGTTGCTGGCGCCACTCTGCGAGGGAATAGAGGCGATTTTTAGGCTCGGATTGAAGAGTAAGTGCAAAGAGAAATGACATGTATTATCATAATTATGGTTGTGATCTCGAATTGCTTTATGGAATAGTTTTCAGCGCTCGTTCACTGAATCCCAGTCACCGCGCGTTCGCAAAGGAAACGATTACCCTTTAACAACAAATCTCACTTTATAGATTCGCTTTTCGTTTAGTATTTCCGTCACAACTGCAGTTTGTTACGACTTCGAGTTGATTCACTTTATCGGTGGACATTCCCCATGGGTCGGTTCAATTTGTATGGAAAGTAGACAGCTCTGATCTACATAAGCGTTCGCGCTTACTTCGCTCATTCAGACAAGATCAAAGAGAAAGACAGCCTGTCGCGACAGATATTACTGTGTCATGTCGGGAAACGTTTATCTTTTTCGTATTTTCTTCGGTAGCAGGTGCTTGCGATAACCCGTTGACAGATTGTTCTCACCGCGAAACACACAACTGCACTTTAAATTCTCTCCACTTGAATGGATTTGCAAAGTGTTTGTGTCATTGCATGAAACTAGAAGTATATGAATGAAAACTTCCTTCCGCTAGAAAAAGTCTGACATCGTTTTTTTGGAAGCTTTCAACCACTGAAGAGACTTAAGACGTATTCTTAGCATTTTTGGCGAATAAGTCGCGAAAATGTTCGTGAAGTTTTCGTGCCAAGATTTAAATCACCCATTCGTGTGTGCTAGTATTGAATAAAACTGGCGACCCAAATAACTTTTTAGTCTGGAAATTTCGGCACCACAAAGGTGTTAAAATCATATCACGGAGAATAGTGTTTGCTAATAAACAGCTTCTTATTATGCGTTCTAACCATGTTGTCTTTCAGTTGCAAATTTAATTTATCCTTCATCTCGAAAGGAGATAATGCGTTGTGCAAGCAAGGTGTTCGGCATCTATAAAGGCTTGCTTGTAGGTCAGTCTATTTCAGTAGATTCTAAAACCGTGTGAAAGTTAATATGTGTAAAAGAAAAAAATGGAACTGTGCTCTTCGCTTTTAAGAAATACTTTTGTCACTCTTTGAAATGCAAGGAGTTGCAATTTTTTTACTTCTACTTCAGTGCATGTGTACTATTTTCAACGAGTTATCAAGTTTTTTATCGTTTTTTTCAGTGTAAAATGAATTGTAATTCCGATTTGCTTGAAGCATTTAACAGGCGAGTAACTAACTCGCGGGAATTTGTTTTATGCGAAGACATTTTTGACAGACTTTGCGAACTGAACAATTAGGATCTTTGATAATTCAGTGAAGTTTCATGCGCTGCCAGGTATACAGAAGCTAATTTAGCTTTTGACAATCTAGTTCAGTATTCGGTGTAGTGGTTTATCAATGCATTTTTTTTTATAATTCATTGATTTTTGAGCACTGAAGATAAGGACGTATGTTGCCTCATGAATGCAAATTTCTTAATGGTACACACATTATGAATTGATAAGACAAGTCAGTGAAGTCTTACCGCAAAATGAAGTCAAAAAACGGAAGACGGATTATATTTCATAGTCATAAACACTAATCCTCTAATTCCACTTTTATTTTCTATATTTTCGCTTGTCCAAATTACGTTGCGCAGAAGTTGTCATTCAGGAAACGGATTCACGAGTCATCGATTCTATTGAAATATTGATCAATGAAGTAAACAATGAAGTGCAGTTGTTGTGATCGTATTAGTTTTGTAAGGAAGCAAGCTTGGTCTTTCAAGTGTGAAGAACTTTCTTATAACCTTCGGTATTTGTATACTCTTCAGTCACTCATGGGAAACATCTCTCTTTGTTTCTTTGTTCGTCGCCCAATGTACGCCTATAGGCACATTGACTGTTTAAAGCTATTAAAATAGCTCATCGTTTAGCTGGTTTTAATGACACGAACTTTTATTGCAGTGTCTATAAAAGTTAGCTTTGAAAGCTAAGTGTACACGATCGATCATGACAGTCAAGCCACTTTTTGTGAGAATGCTTCAAAACTGAGCTAACAAAACTATTGCGGCTACATTTGTCACAGATTGTCGATAATTTTCTGCAGTTGTAGTGAAAATAAAAACGTTCTTTCTTCACACTTTCCTCGTCGTAAATTTCCCTTAGTCTCGCAATGGCTGTGTCAGATTAATATAAGAGGAAGCGGGTTGGGAAAGGAAACATACGAAGAATGTTTTTCAAGGTGACACGATTTCTCAGAGGAAGTCAGACCTTGTGGAAACTGTTCACATCTTACGAAAGAACTTCTCCCAACTGTTACTTCAGGGAATGTCTACACACTAGTAGGGAGAATTAGTATGTTATTAATGGAGCTTAAGTATGAGGCCCGTCCAAGCTACGCCGGAGGAATTTGGATACGCACCTGTGTTTTTAATGTTAGGCCTTCCTTCCACACTAATCCGTCACGAAAACGGAGCTTTTTGAAAACACTCTTTTAACCGGAGGAATTTGAAAAACGCCGTTTTTTCGTTTTCGCGTTGACGGAAAACATTTTGAAAACGGGGCTTTTCGATAATCACGTGATTTCCCTGCCCGAGAATTCCTCAAACTCAAATCCAAAATGACCGGTGATTGTTGCGTTTTTAAATTCTTCCGGCGTAGTACTAGTGTGGACGGAAAACATTTGATGCGTTTCAGAGTGAAACCTCCGTTTTCAAATTCCTCTGGCGTTGTTGACCATCGTTGTGTTCTGTTGTTGTTGTTTTTTTTTTTTTTCAGGTTCCGTGTTCGGTCTCAAGAAATGGGATTACTGGTGCTGGATAGAGACGCTCATCAACCACCTTCAAAATGACAAGTAAGCAAAACACAAGTACTAACGTCTTTTCTGCAGAGTAGTGTATGACATATGAACTTCATAAGTGTCATTTAAAACGAATTTTTCTCTTCTTTCCAGGCAGAAGTTAGCCTACATACACGTGGTTACATTTGTTAAGTCTTGTAAAAAGGTAAGAAAATACATGGCTGCAGTTTTCTCACGGGATATGTTATACTTGAAAGTGGTAGGAATGGGTAGCCGTGAAATTCCGATAGTAAGCCCGGAGCTCATATGTGTTCAAAAGGATTGTTAGGTGAGAAGGAGGAAGACTCGCTATCAAAAGGGATCTTTCGTTTCAAGATATTTGGGTTTATATTTCGAATTGTTGTTGCGTATGAACGAGTGGCTTCGTAATCGAGTGTAAGTGTATGTGAGCAGTGTTGCTCAGCTTATACGATGGACCCCTCCCCCTTGCCCCATTCTAAGAGAAATAAAGGCCGAAAGGCGGCGTGGGAGGCGGCGTTATTGTTGTTGTTTTGGCTAAGTTAACCATCTTGTACTTCATACGATTGCAGCTAACCTCGTTCCAGGCTTATGGCCGACAATTCATCCGCCTGGCTCTGATGAAGAGGCTGCTTCTTTACACAGTACAAACTCTGACTGCCAATTCAGCTATTCTTAAGGTGCGGTATTTCTGGTGTTAATCAGCGGTATTATGACTATAAAGGCATAAGCGGAGTTTACCTTTTATAGCAATAAATAGACATATGTGATAGGATGCAATCCCGGTCTTGGCTTTCTGTGTTTCTTCCGGTTTTGCTGTGTTTCATTTTCACGTTTGGATGTGTTTGATGGCGTTTTTTCAGTCAAATTGAGGCTGAGTGCGATGTTTGTTTACCCTAACCCTAAGTTTAACCTCTAATAAGTCTCTCCTATCCTACATCAAGAGGCGAGGATTTCAGGAAACGAGAGAAAAGGGAAAAGCCTGGAAAAGAAAATCTTAGATTTTGGCTTGTTTGCTTTTAATTTTATTTTCACTGACAGATTGGTCTTCTGACGTTGCAGAAAGCTACTGGCTCTCAGACATGGAACCGATGTTAATGTTGCTCGTGTAAACTTTTTTTTTATTTTTCACAGCACTGGTACAATGAAACTGCGGTGTTGAGAGACAAAGTCCTGCGAGGTTAGTCAGAAGATAAATTTTAAGACTCTTAATTAGAGATTCTGCGTCGACGGATTTGAAATGGACATTTTCCAATGGTGCTTTTGTAGCTGAACTCTACCTTGTCGTTGTTTCTTATTTGTAGAAACTTTCATGGATATCTTGAAAGGAATAAACGAGCACGTGTTTGCCTTGGATTTGAAGGTTGGTTAAAGGATTTTTTTTTCCACGATTTGTGTAGCCGTTCATAGGGTGGCAATAGTAGCAGTGTTACTGAAACGATCCAACAGAGTTTTAAATTCAGTAGACGGCGACAGAAAAACAAACAAGCTAGGAAACCTTTCCCGAACTATAAATCATCTAATGCCGGATAGGTTTATTTTACAGACACATATCCTGTCTTATTGGCCCTTTTAACTTATTCCCAGCTCACAAATCTGAGTCAAATCTCGTAGAAAAATCTAAATTTTATATACTGAATTATAAAATAACTAAGATATGCTACGCGCGCTCTCATTGGCCGATAGGTGTGTTAAGATGAGAGTATGTAAACACGCTTGTGACGTTCTAGATTCGCGCGTGTTTTTGAGAATCGTTTTGTAAAAGCAATAGAGCACTTTTTCCGTGTTTACATAGCCTCATCTAAACACTCGGGGGGGCTAGGAGAATTCTTGTAAATTATGCAAACCCGAGACTACGTCTCGGGTTTGCATAACTGTTTCAAATTCTGCCAACCCCCCTCGTGTTTAGATGAGGCTATGTAAACACAGAAGAAGTGCTCCATTGCTTAAATCCATAGAATCAATTGCTTACACGTAAATACATCAACAGTGGCAAGTTATAATAGAAATATAATCCAAACAAAACTATAAGCAAACTTGTTTCTGTTTCCAGTACTTTGTTCATTAATTTATGATTCTGTCTTTTCCCATTTTTTTTTTTTTTTTTTCATAGAATTGCAGTTTTCTGGATGAAACCTGGTTAATTCCCGTGAGTTCTTTTTGCCTTTGTCCATATCCTTTTCTATCAAGGTTTACTGAGACCATTCTTGGATCTAACTTTCTCTTATTTGCTTTTCTCCTAATTACCTGTAGGAAATCAGACATGTTGATATTGTACCGTGTAAAGAGCTTGGCTTAGTTGTGAGGTAGGTAACACGGTTATTCAAAGCGTGAAAATGCGCTATTTATCCAGTGGATGGCTCTATCCACCCTTTGAACAAGCGAGGTGCCCAGGAGTTTAATACTAAGTAAATGAGATTTTTTGGCTTGGTACTGAGGAGGTTGCTTTACTTTTACCTTGTCCCAATCCTCGAAGGGTCAATTCTTATGTTGTTGTAAGTAATCGTTGTGAATTTTGTTACTTTTTTTACAGAACTGTAAATGGAAGAGTGATGGTGGCTTGTGTAAGGAAAAACAGCGCAGCGGAAGACGTAAGCATCATTGTCAACGATTTTAACACATCGTTTTGAACACTAGGGAGTTTACGAAACCACGACGGCAACAGCAACGGGAGCGTCACTGAGCAAAAGAATTAATGAGCACAACAATGGCTGTGCACATGCGTTATAATTCTTGGTACAGTTCTTTGCCGTCCTCTGCAAAACAACAACGTGAAATGACCAAATTTTGCGTTGTCTGGAGAACGTGAACCACGACGGCTAATTTTTTAAATTTTTATTTCAAATTTATCACTGTGTTCCGGATTTAGTTTTGCGATAGTTTTGACAGTAATAAGCAAAGTAAGTGACTTTAGAGTATCGCAAGATTCGTAGGTAAAATGTAAATTAATTTTTTAATCGACGTTGTCCTCGGCGTCGCCGTCGTGGTTTCGTAAACACCCTACTTTCCTGACTAGTCAGGGGCGTCTTCTCTTTCTAGAGCAGTAATTGGAGCTTAGGTTCCTTTCCAGTCTTCCTCCACCAGCAGTGATTCGTGCTTAGGTTCCTTTCCAGTCTGCCTCCACCTACAGGTCATTCTAGGATGGCTCTCTCCAGCTGACTTTACAAAGATCAAGCCCCCATTATTTTAGCCTCCACACTGCTCCTCTAGAGGCCGAGTATGATGGTCTCCTCTGCTAAATAGTGAAACGGACATCAGGAGCATAAAATGTGTCCGCCTTTTCAAAGTACCAAGCTTACGCCCTACCTTTTATTAAGGGAAGCTTTCTTGCGGTAGTTTTTGTATATAGCTTTTAGTCTAGAAACTAGCTTGATGTTTTCGTTTAGTTTTAATGTGCGTATTTGGACATATGTGTGGAGATTTTCCCTCATTTACGTCTTGATTGTTGATGTTATTATATGCTTGTTCCGTAAATATAAGAAGTGTCGAGTCTTGGTTTGTTAGCTGTTGCTTTCTGACCACTTTCTTTTCTATAGGCTGGTATCGCTTATGGGGACACACTGGATGAGTTGCTGGGGATTTTTCTGTTTAAGTCGAAGGCTGGCCGTGTAAGTAATTGAACTTCACTCCTGAGTGTTAAAGTAGCTACGTCATGGTTTGCGCATCTTTAGAAGTTTAGCCTAAATTTTTCAAGTTCTTCCTTTGTAATCCGTGTTAATCTTCGCCATCTTTATTTCGTTATTGTTTATTTTTATCTCTTTGTTATTTTCCATCTAAGCAAACTATTATTTTCAGGTTTCCTTTAATTCAAAGGTAACTTTGTACGTAGCAAAAACAAAAAACTCAAAATACCTTGACTGAGATCACCAGTTTAGTTCTCAGCAGGGATCGAAAGTGGTAATTTACTTTTGATAAGTCACAAACCATAAAACCCAAGCGAGCAGTTCGTTTATCCGTTGTTCTCCGAAGATTTGATTGTTCATATCTGATGTTCTCCGAAGATTTTTCTCGTTTTATCCGATTTTGGTTATTTATGTAACATAGATAGTTTAACAGACCAATCAGAATCCAAAGCAAAATAATGTAACAGATATACCGCAGGAAACGTGTAACCGGTGCCAAGCGCGGGGAAGTGGTATAGCCCGGGTCATTCGCGGGAAAACTGGTAACCGTTGCTATTGGCGGTAAACCGTTTAACCACACAGCGACATAACGGCATAATTACAATCACATAACAACATAATAGCTTATGTCGCAATGTGAATATCGACATAAAAGCATAAGGAAAAGATCAGTTTTTTTCTTATGTCGTTATGTTGATGCTGTTATGTTGCTATTATGTCAGGATGTTCACACTATAAACGAAACGACAAACGTCCTACTTATGTCGTTGTATTTATGTCGATATGTCGCTGGTGTAAACTAGGCCTTGGTAAGCGAGGAAAAACGGGCAACATTTTCTCACAGCTTGTCGAGCGACTATGTTGCATCGCAAGTTGAAAATGGTGTTGCGTGAATGACCACTCGTGTTACAAGTTGCAGCAATATTCTGCACGAACTAGACGTGATGAGTTCATCATACTGTAATTTATGTTGCTACAACTTGCAACACCGATGATGATACGCGCAATAGCACATTTCAACGTGCACTGCAAAATTGTTGCCCGTGTTATACTCGGTCCTAACTGAAAGATGAAATGTCTGCTCCGATTAGCTATAGTATAAAGCATGACCTCAGCGAATGCAAAACCGGGGAAATATCATTTCTTTTGACAGTCATTGGATCCCACTCTTGTTTTTTCATTAAGGTTGTAGATTTACTGAGACGAAACACAGGAAGACCTGTATCTTGTACTCTAGTAAAGGTAAGGACTCCTAAATACCTTTCTGTTACGTTAGCAGTTTAGTAGTAAAGTGATGCAAGGCACCTCTTTTCCGTTGAATCTCATTCAAATCTCATTCACAGTGAATATTACCTTAATTGTAAGTTCTTGTGCAGCTAAATCGAGAATGTTCTACAGACCTTTTGCAGACTACTTTTGTAGTATCGTAGTCTTCGAGTGTCTTTTAGCGTATTTTTTGGATTCGCTTATCAACGGCTGTCACCGAAGGTTCACATTTATGAGTGTTTTTCTAACTTTGGAAGTTAATCTCGTAGCAAAGCTCGAAATATTGCATTGGTTCCTGTGCCAGTAACTCGGTCTTGCACAGGCGTAGTTAAACTTTATTTAGACACACGGTCGACAACTTTCAAGGTCAGTGAGCACAAACAAGTCTGGACTTAATCTATATAAGTATTAGCAGTAGCAGTAGCAGCTGTAATAGCAGTAACAGCAGCAGTAGCGTAGCAGTAGCAGCANCATACTGTAATTTATGTTGCTACAACTTGCAACACCGATGATGATACGCGCAATAGCACATTTCAACGTGTACTGCAAAATTGTTGCCCGTGTTATACTCGGTCCTAACTGAAAGTTGAAATGTCTGCTCCGATTAGCTATAGTATAAAGCATGACCTCAGCGAATGCAAAACCGGAGAAATATCATTTCTTTTTACAATCATTGGATCCCACTCTTGTTTTCTCATTAAGGTTGTAGATTTACTGAGACGAAACACAGGAAGACCTGTGTCTTGTACTCTAGTAAAGGTAAGGACTCCTAAATACCTTTCTATTACGTTAGCAGTTTAGTAGTAAAGTGATGCAAGGCGCCTCTTTTCCGTTTAATCTCATTCAGATCTCATTCACAGTGAATATTACCTTAATTGTAAGTTCTTGAGCAGCTAAATCGAGAATGCTTTACAGACCTTTTGCAGACTATTTTTGTAGTATCGTAGTCTTCGAGTGTTTTTTGGCGTATTTTTTGGATTCTTATCAACGGCTGTCACCGAAGGTTCATATTTATGAGTGTTTTTCTAACTTTGGAAGTTAATCTCGTAGCAAAGCTCTAAGTATTGCATTAGTTCCTGCGCTAGTAACTCGGTCTTGCACAGGCGTAGTTAAACTTTATTTAGACACACAGTCGACAACTTTCAAGGTCAGTGAGCACAAACAAGTCTGGACTTAATCTATATAAGTATTAGCAGTAGCAGTAGCAGCAGTAATAGCAGTAACAGCAGCAGTAGCGTAGCAGTAGCAGCAGCAGCAGCAGTAGCAGTAGCGGTAGCGGCAGCAGTAGCAGTAGCAGTATCAGTAGCAGCAGCAGAAGAAGCAGAGTCAGGAGCAGAAGCAGTAGCAGTAGTAACAGCAGTAGTAGCAGCAGCAGTAGCAGTAGCAGTAGTAGTAGCAGTAGCAGCAGCAGCTGCAGTGGCGGTAGCAGTAGCAGTAGCAGTAGCAGTAGCGGTAGCGGTATAATAGGGAACTTAAGCACGCACGTTTTTGAGACGCGGACGGTAACCGGAAGTGAGCTTTTTTCACTTTAAACTTGTCCTCACACAATCATATTCACATTGCTAAGTATCTTTTCTTCGTTAGAGATGAGTAGTATAAAAATCTGGGGGACAATACGGTCCAAGCATGCGAAATCTTTTCTTCCGGTTGCCGTCCGCGTCTCAAAAACGC